CATCGAAACAGCAGACCAGGTGTTATTATTAGGACTGGTATAATCATTTAATCCATTCATATTTGATTTGCATTCTGCATACATGTTTTTTTATTTAACTTAAATTAAAGTCGAATCGATGGCGAAGACGAAGTCGACGCCAGGAGTGAGACCTGGGCAGGTGTCATGACAGCATGGGTTGTGAAGTTGATGGCATGTCGTCATACAATAGGAGATGCTTGGCCCAGGTTGGGGGTCTTTCCTTGGGGCTTTGAAAAGTCTTCGAAGTTCTTGGCTAGGGCCTAATGCGAAGTCTCAGGTCTGCAGTTATACAAAGGCTTGACGCAGCCACCGAAACCCCTAAANNGTGACACTGGCCGACACCTGAATCCCTGCCATGGCGAATTGCCAAGTTGGCCCAAGTCTCAAACCCCAAAAGCTGCCAACCCCAAACCGGAAAGGCCCCAAGCTCCAAAACTCTATATATTTGGCCAATGAATCCAGTAGGAAAATAAATAAGGCGAAGAAGAAGGCAGAGAGAGTCTCAATGAATACGTGAAGCTAGCCCTGAGATTTTCCTAAATTCCCTCGCCTCAACTTGAAGCCGCCAGAGTTTCCTTCTCGGCCTCCAGATGCACGGCGAACCTGGGGCGGCTGAAGGTGCTTGAAGGTCAAAGGGATCTGAGGCATGAGGATCTGAGGCAGTAGTTAGAGTCTAGATCTCTGTCTTTTAAACTTTTGGCCCAAGTCTTGGATCTCTGTGGGTTCCGTCTTTTCGGTCTGTCTTTCGTTGGACACATAAATTTGTCAGTGGTCGACTAAGACGCAATCTGAAATCTCAAATTAAAACCCTAAGCTGCAAGTAACCTCGAATAGAACGAGTGAAAGTGAAGCTGTTGCGAACCAAGGACAGCCTCTGGATTCTTCAGATGGGGTTACAAAGCCTGTGCCGTGTGTGCATCACAGAATGATTGGCAACAGGAAATGGCCTTAGGGTGACGGGTATTACTGGGCTGCCCGCCATGTCCCACTCGCATTCTCTGCTTCCAACCGTTGCTCACCGAACACCTGGGGCACGCGGATCGCTGACAAGACCAGGATGCTCTTCAACATCTGCTTTCCCCGAACAGATACAGTCTTAGACCTGCAAGAGCGGCACAACCACCAAATCGAAACCGCAAAACCTTGCACCTTGCATCGAATCGGGCAAGCTGAACAGTCGCCGGCTTCCCAAACAGCGAAATGAAATTTGAAGGGGCGGCTGATTCAATCCTGGCCGAGAATATCTCTGGTTTGACACAGGAACCTAGTATATTAATGTAGCTTTGAGGCTGTTAAAAATTAGTGTTTTGGGAGGTCGCAACTTACGACGCGAATGTTGAAGCTTTTGCCAGTTTCTCCCCCAGCCTGCAGTCCAGGAAGGAATGGTGTGTGGCATGACAGCACGGGTGCTGAAGTTGCTGCTATGTCGTCATACAAGGGTAGAAGCATGTGAAGTTATGCAGCAGGCCTTCATTTTAAGGAATCTGTCTGAACC